CTTCCGAAAATACACACTAATGCTGGGGCTCTAGGATTTCATTAGACTATGTTTAACCTCCAATTGTTCTAAATTTAATTTCCCTTCGCGTCCTAGATATGCAATTAAAATATTTCAAGAATAGCCAATAACGCTGGGTATCACGAAAAGAATCTGGAATCCGAGCTCTGTGCCATCCACACCAACTGCTTCACTGTGTTGTGATATGTGTTGTCTTTTTCCCTGGGGAGGACACAACTGTTAAAAGTGTGGGCTTTTAATCCACATTTCACTAAACTCAACTCTATGCCACCAATGAACTTTAACTCTACCTTTCACTGTCTTCAAACATCATTTTTTTTTCAAACAAACATCATTTTTTTTTCAAACAAACATCATTTTTTTTTCAAACAAACATCATTATGAGCTCCACAAAAGGTGAACCTCAATGTTTACTATAGTATAAGAAACAGAAATGTAGGGGCTGGGGAGATGGCTCAGTGGAATAAGTGCTTCCCTGGCAAGTGCAAGGACCTGAGTTCAATCCCTGGTTCTGGAAAAAAAAAAGAAAAAAAAGAAATGCAAATATTTAGCTTTATTATATTTAATTAATGAAGGTTGCAATCTCACTCTTTAAGAATTGTGGTACAGGGCCAGGGAGATAGCTCAGCGGCGTAAGCACCTGCCCGGCAAGCACAGAGGCCCTGGTTCAATCTCTGGTACTGCACGCAGTGCCAGCCTCGACCACTGTGGCAGCCCTGAAACCGTCGTGGTGGTGCACCCGGGAGGCTGAGGCAGGAGGATCACTACAGAGTCCGAGCTTCGTAGTAAGACCATATATCCAATACATAAATACATTTTTAAAAAATTGTGCTACAGCTCTTTCCTTGGGACCCGCCAACATGGTCCACGTTCCTACCAAGACAGTGAAGAAGGCAGCCCACGTCATCATTGAGAAGTACTATACACGCCTGGGAAACGACTTGCACACCAACAAGCGCGTGTGCAAGGAAATCGCCATCATCCCCAGCAAGAAACTCCGCAACAAGATAGCAGGCTGTGTCACACATCTGATGAAGCGAATACAGAGGGGCCCTGTGCAGGGTATTTCCATCAAGTTGCAGGAGGAGGAGAGAGAAAGGAGAGATAATTAGGTCCCTGAGGTCTCAGCCTTGGATCAGGAAATCATTGAAGTAGATCCTGACACTAAAGAAATGCTGAAGCTTTTGGACTTCGGCAGCCTCCCCCACCTGCAGGTCACACAGCCTACCGTCTGGATGAATTTCAAAACACCACGTGGAGCTGTTTGAATCTTTTTGCTGTGCTGTAACATCAATAAAGTTGGGACAATGGTAAAAAAAAAAAAATTGTGCTACAAATCCTGCCACATACATCAACACAAACACATGCAATCAGGTCCTACTATAGCTATTTGAAGGAGGGACTATCTTTGCTCCCACCAGCACTCCATTTCTCCCTAAAACCAAGACCACACCTTGATTGCGCCAACGTTCCACCATAGCGACTGCGCGCAACATTTGGCCTTCGCGAGCTGCTCCACAAAGGCCCGGAGCTCGGAGCGACGTGGGCCGCACACAGCCCCCAGCAGCACGGCGGCGCAGCCCAGCGGTGGACCCAGAGGAGCCCAGAGAGGCAAGAGGTGGGGGCCACTGAGGCAGCGGGGGCGGGTGGGTGGGCGGTGGCGCGCTCGACGGAGCAGCGAGAGCAGCCAGCACCGGGCTTCGGGGACAGCATGGGCCTCGCGCGCTCTCCGCAGGCACAGCGGCCTCTCCCTGGGGACAGAGCCTGGCAAGAGCCCAGGCCTCGGCGAGCTCCAGACCACGGGCGCAGGCAGAAGCACAGCCAGGGCTGTCGTTAGTTCCAGTTGAAGGCCAGGCTCTGGCATCACAAAAATCTCCTAACTACTCCTCAGTGGAAAGGAAATACAGCTCCTTCGAACTTGGAAACACTCGTTTATCTGAACTACCTCCCCTAGGCCTCCTATAGCCCATGAGTAAAATTCTTGACTTGTTTTGGTAGAAATTCCTTCCTGATAGAAATTCCTTCCTGGTCTGATGGGCAAACTGTTATCAATGAATGCAAACTATTCGAAGGCACACGATCCAAGAGCCCCTGCTAGCCTAAATATACCTACATATCTGACACTAACTCTAGGTGCTGACGGGCAGGTGGCACCCGCCTGTCATCCCAGTGATCCGGGAGGTTGAGGCAGGAGGTCTGCAGGTTTGAACCCAGCCTGAGAAATTTAGCAGCTTAGTGAGACCCTGTTTCAAAATTAAAAATGAAGTCCAGCCACTGGATGTTAAGTCCAGCAGGCTTCCCAGCACGTCACGCTTTGGACATGACTGATGCATGCTTAGCTCAGGGGCTGCATCCTCGGGCTCTAGGGTCAGGCGCTGCTCACTGGTGTCCCATAAGTGACTTGCTAGGTGAGCTAAATGAATGGGATTAGCTGTGAAGCAACAGAGGGCTGCGGCGGCGAGGTGCGCCCAGCTTCCCAGACCTTTCAGTTTCTCAGGAGATGATCACAGCGTGTGTCCATGTAAACTATGCCAGTTCTGAGGCAAATCTGTGTCTCAGAAATGTCTTTTTAATGATCAGTTTGTGGCTCTGAGCTAAATGAACAGACCACACTGAGCAAGGGAGACCCGTGTGGGCCAGAAAGAGGGAGGCAGGAGCAGAGGGTGGCAGGACAGGAGAGAGGCGCAGGGAGGCGGTAGACAGGAAAGGCCACCAACTGCGCATGTGCACGAAGAGGAATCGGCACGAGGAAGGCAAAGGGAAGAGCGAATCAGCGGCCGGCATCCAGAAGAGGTAAGGCGGCAGGGCCTCATCAGGGAAAGCTGCCAGGGAGCTGGCATGGTGGTGCACACCTGCGACCTCAGTAGTCGGGAGGCTGAGGCAGGAGGACGCTGCACGTTGGAGGCCAGTCTGGGCTACAAAGTGAGCTCCAAGGCCAGCCTGAACTGCATAGCTAGACCCTGTCTCAAAAAAGACAAAAAAGAAAAGGCCGCCAGGGTAAGGTCTGTGTGTGGGAAAGACGGGGAGGGAACAGCGAGACCGAGTGTGGGGCCAGCACATGTGGGGCCACCACGTGCAGAGCCACCTTCGCTGTCCTCACAGTTGGGAAGCCTAAGCCACAGCCAGGTGCGAAGACGAACTAGGACAGCAGTGGGCTCGGGGTGGGCTCCCCACAGTGGGCCGCAAGGCCGGCCAGGGTAGCTCTGACTGCAGCGAGCTCAGGGAGCCCCGGCTGGCTGCAGCAATCCAAGCTCCCGCAGCAACGTGACCCGCAGGCCGAGCTGTACGTTTCCATGCAAAGCACCCAGCTCGGGCTAGGGAGACAGCTCCGTGGGCTAAGCGCCTGCCTGGCAGCACGAGGTCCAGAGTCCGATCCCTGGTACTGCATGCCGTGCTGGCTCTCAAACCGGGTGTGGTGGCGCACTCCTGTAATCCCAGCACAGGGGAGGCTGAGACAGGAGGATCACTAGAGTCTGAACTGCGTAGCAAGACCCTGTATCAATTAAAAAAAAAAAAAAAGCACCCGGCTCCCACGTGTGTGACATACGTAGCGTGCTACAGTAGCAAATGTGAAAGGATCGGAAGGTGACACGGTTTGCAGATCGATTACACGGGAAGGGAAACACGCAAAGCTGTTAACACTAAATCATTTTCCATCTGAATTATAAGCTGCTGAGCTGTGTGTGTGGCCCTACATTGCTACCAAATATACTGAAAGTCCTCTTTCCTGCTTGACCTTGCAGAACGCCCGTCTGCTGTGTGCTTTCTCCGACTTACCGCGACCTCTCTTTCAGACACCTACAACGCTTCTGTACTTATCTCAATAACTCTTTTTATTCCTGTAGCATGTTTCAAAGACATCAGGTGGATTTGACTTTGTCATAGATGAAATACATTTAACATCTCAGGCCGCCTGGGTTCTAAGCATTCTAAATCCCCAATTAATATCTCCCCAATAGACGGATTGAGTTTTGATTTTGTTCACAGGTGGAATTTTAACCTACTTCACAAGACCTTTCAGGGGAAAAATACTGTTCAAACCTAGATAGTGTGTTCCTTTGTTGATGCTAAATATAGTCACTCGAGATGACATACATTTTGACAAGGATCAGCCTTGCATGTCACTTTTTCAAAAATAGCACAGGTTCCATTTTAAGGTATGCAGGAATAATTGCTACTCACTACATTTCAACTGAAAATGAATTTAAATGTACATCTATAAAAAGGGGATCTCATCCATAACTCTAATGAGGAAAACTGGATTTCAAATAATTTTGTTGTGATTTTTGCTCACGGTTTTTTAAGTGCATCGTTGTGAGTAAAGTAAGAATGGCACATTTTTTTCTTAAAATCATTCCTCAGAATGAAGTATCAGTCAAAAGATAAGATACTTTCAGAAATTGGTGCTAAGGAAAAAGAATCTGAAATTGGCTGCAATGAATAATCAAAGTTCATTTATGCTCCAGATCTCTTTCCCCAAACATTTTTTTCTTTCATTTGATTAATTATGCATTTTTTCTTACCCATACCCAGAAAAGCAAACAATTTTTAAAAAACGAATATTCTGAGCCTTTCATCGCCGCAGTTTAACCTGTCAAAGGTTAACACCGAGAGGAAATTTTGTGTGGTCCGCTTAATACCGTGTGACTAAGGCGGCAGAAATAGTTAAGTTCATTTAATCACACGGCCCTGGACAGAGCTGTGCTGTGACTTCCAGGGCCAGGCGCCTGTTCCATGAACTCACAGACAGAATTTAGCTGCTGCGTGCCGACGCTCCCACCGCCTCGGTCAAAGGACCAACTTCTTACTTGTCACTCTCCCTCTTTTCTCTACCTGTCTCTCCCCTAAGGACAGTGCGAAGACTCGAAGACTCGTCCTTCTGCTATTTTTATCCTGCTTTCTCTCTCCTAACTCCCTGTTCACGTTGTGACCTTTAACAAATATAAGATAAATAGCAGGCTCATTGCGAAGCAACTAACCTTTCCACCTGGTTCTTTTTCTCACAAATGCCAATGATAACCCCTTCCACGCGTGTAGAAGGACGCGTTACACTTCTCGCGGGCAGGTGGGCTCTCATCTCTAAGCCAAGGGTCCTTCCGCCAACCCGTGGGACCCCGCGTGGCGTCCCCCACTGGAGCCCTCGGCTGGAGACCGCGTGGGGACCCCGCGGGGACACCTCGGGCGCACACCCCCACTTAGGCCCCGCGTGGACACCACACCTGTTCGATCACGACCCCCCCACCCCTGGCTTCCCCGGGGTCAGGTCGGAGCCGGCAGCCCGCGCAGGGGACCCCGGGACTCCCCACGCAGCCCGGGCGCAGGGGCGCAAGCCGGGCGTGGGGTCGGACGCGGGGATCGCGGCCGGAGCAGCCCCGAGCCCGAGCCGGGGAGGACCAGCCGTGCCCACCCCAGCCTCTTACCGCCGATCCTCCGACGAGCGGAGTCCTGGGCTCGCGCGGAGAGACTGCGCCCGCCGGCCGGAGGGGGCCTGGGCGCCGCCGCAAGTTTCCATAAAAGTCCCGGCGCCGCCGCGCATTCCGCCCCGCCCCGCCCCGCCCCGCCCCGCCCCGCCGC